GATGGAGCGGTGACGGGTCTCTATCACAGTCAGGGTGTCGACAAAGTCAGTGAGGGTGAGGTCGGCGGGGTGAATGCTAAGGAAGCGGTCGCGGGCGACAGCAAGGCGGTCAGGGAGGCGGGTGGCAAGCAGGTAGAGGGTAGAGGTAATGGGCGGCTGGTGTGCTCTAAGCTGTGCATCAGTGCAGGCTGCACGCCAGGTCTCATCTATCGAGCGCAGGTGGGCAGCGAGGTTAGAGACAGTGGGGAAAGACGCAAGGTCAGGAAAGAGCATCGGGAGGATCAGGCGACCCACCGAGGCAGCCGGAGGGGTGGAATAGCACTGGATGACAGCATCTAAGTATGCCTGAGCAGTGGTGAGAGACCTAAAGCGAGGGCGCTCGGACGGGGGAAGGGCGTTGCTGATGGCAAGCTGGGCGACAGCATCGCGAGAAAGCCAGACAGAGCGCGCACGGGCAGTGGCAGCAGTGGACTCGCGCTCAGTGGGTGTGGAGTCAGCGGGCAGAATAGCAGGGGGGTCTGGGCAGGGGAGCGTACCGTCAAGGTGTGCGGAAAGCGGTTCACCATCCTGCCGCTGGCCAGTGAGTTGGCGACGGAGGTCGGCAAGCCATGCCTCGAACTCCAGAGGCTGGCCTTCAGCGTCGAAGCGAAGCTCCGCCGCCATCAGGAACAGTGCAGTGCGGTGCAGGGCAGTGCAGCAAGGTGGAGTGCGGTGCCGTGCGGTACAGTGCGATGCAGTGCGGTGCAGTGCGGTGTAGGGCGGTGCAGTGCGGTGCCAGGCAGTACAGGGTGGTGCGGGGCAGTGCAGTGCGGTGCAGTACGGTGCAGGGCAGTGCAGGGCGGGGGGGGGGGGGAAACCGTACCAGGGAGGAGGACCGGGGCCGGGGCAGGGACGAGCGCAGGGGCCGGGCCGGTGCAACGGGGCCGGGCGGGCGCGACGGGGCCGGGCGGGCGCGACGGGGCCGGGCTGGTGCGACGGGGCCGGGCCGGTGCGACGGTGCCGGGCCGGTGCGACGAGGCCGGGCGAGCAGGACGGTGGCCCAGGAGGGGCGCACCGGGGCTGTGCGGGCGCGACGGGGCCGGACGGGTGCGATGGGGCCGGGCGGCTACGACGGGGCCGGGTAGGGGGCGACGGGGCCGGGCGAGTGCAACGGGGCCGGGCGGGCGTGACGGGGCCGGGCTGGTGCGACGGGGCCGGGCTGGTGCGACGGGGCCGGGCTGGGGCGACGGGGCCGGGCGAGCGCGACGGGGCCTGAAGGCGTGACGGGGCCCAGGAGGGGGGGGGGCTCGACGCGGCCCAGGAGGGGCGCTACTGGGCCCAGGATGGGCACGACGGGGGCCCAGGAGGGGCGCTACAGGGGCCCAGGAGGGGCGCGACGGGGCCCAGGAGGGGCGCTACGAAGCCCAGGAGGGGCGCGACAAGGCCCAGGAGGGGCGCTACGGGGCCTAGGAGAGGTGCGACAGGGCCTGGGAGGGGCGCGACGGGGCCCAGGAGGGGCGCTACAGGGCCCAGGGAGGGCGCGACGGGGCCCAGGAGGGGCGCTACGGGGCCCAGGAGGGGCGCGACGGGGCCCAGGAGGGGCGCTACGAAGCCCAGGAGGGGCGCGACGGGGCCTGGGAGGGACGGGGCCCAGGAGGGGCGCTACAGGGCCCAGGAAGGGCGCGACGGGGCCCAGGAGGGGCGCTACAGGGCCTTGGAGGGGCACGACGGGGCCCATGAGGGGTGCTACAGGGCCCAGGAGGGGCACGACGGGGCCCAGGAGGGGCGCTACGGAGCCCAGTAGGGGCGCGACGAGGCCCAGGAGGGGCGCTACAGGGCCTAGGAGGGGCGCGACGTGGCCCGGGAGGGGCGCGACGGGGCACAGTGAGGGGTGAGCGGAAGCGGTAGGTGGGGGGGGGGGGGGGGGGGGGGATCCTACCTACGCGTGATACCATATCAAAACTGAGAATTGAATGATAGATAGAGTGTACACACAGATATATCTAAGTGTTGTACTCTCTAAAAGACGTCCCTATACAGTCTATACAAACATGACAAATACACATGTTTGACAACAGGTTCCTGATCAGTCTTGGTCGGTCACAGTCAAGTTGGCGAAACTGATGGGGGGGTGGAAGGGGAAATCGCGGAATTCACTGGTGGGGGGGTTGGGGCTTGGGTTGGAATCCGCTATTAGAGCATGTTCAGCCTCTTTCCAGGGAGCCTCTTCCCAGACTCGCGAGCTGCAGTGTCGCGAATTCTGACGTGAAATGTTTCAGTGCGGTTCCGCAAGGTGCAACGCCAGGTTCGGCCTGCCGAGATTAAGGGGCGTGTTTCAAAACCTCTGTTCATGTCAACATAGTTTCCACCACCCGCGAATCCGTCTAGTAAATTTTCGGCGCGAACAGTTGTTTTTGCGATTGAGAGCGGCGGAACGCAAATATGAAACAGGAATGTGGAAAAGGGGTCACGGGAACACGCTCTCAAGGTCACGCGTGAGACGGGAGCAGGTTGCCTGGGAAGAGGCTCGCAGGAACACGCTCTTACACGTATCAGGGCCCAATAGGACGCTGGAAAAACAGGGCTCACTACACTCGTCGCGCTGATCGATCAGAGTTTACTTATAAAAAAACGCTGAAATTTCAGGCCCGTATTGAAAAAAAAACCTGTCTCATCAGGGTTACCCCCCAAAAAAATCCTGATTTTACCCTGAATCAGGGTAAAAAGCCTGCAATCTGAGGCCCTGATCTAGTGAACGTGAGTACAAGCATACATATCTAAGGGTTGTACTCTCTAAGAGGTGACCCTATACAGTCTATACAAACACTAGATATACTAATGTTTGACACACCCCCTAGACTGCATAGGGGCAGTTCCTGAACAAGCAGCTCAGGGCGGCACTACTAGTCCAGCCACTGAGACAAGGGTCTAAAGACCAGTCAACAGGAGTACAGACAAGACAAAAACAAGACCAGGGCGGCACTACTAGTCCAGCCACTGAGAGAGGACACAAGTCCAGTCTAAATGTAATTTTTTGAAAGCGTGTAATGCTTTATAAAAATGTGTATTGTGAAAGTGCAGTGAGGGCCAACGCAGCAAGGACAGCGTCGAAGCGCTACTCACCCTCTTTTGCCTACAAACGAGGGACGTGAGGCCATTCGACCTCACCCACGTTCTTCATTTCTAGTTCCAGTTTCGTTTTCGTTTTCTCGTCCTAGTTCTAGTCTCCTTGTTCTCGCCCAAGCTGGCGAAAACCCAGTCTCTTCCGCGCTTCAAAGCCCCGACTACGCTCCTCACCGACATTCTGCAGCACAATATCGCCACGATGACTTCCGCCAATTCTGCTCCGGCTCGCGCGGCGAACAACATTTCTACCCCCGCTAACGCCCAGGCGATCGGAACTTCGCCCGGGGGAACCGACCGTCGTCAGAAACGTCATGCTGAGGACAATTTTGGCGAGGGTCCCTCGGCAGTCCAGATCCTACTCGGCGTCACTCACGCTGCTCCAGAAGAAACTCGCGCGGCTGCTTTGCAGCCGCGCGTGCAGTCAACGCAAGACCACGCGCCAGCTCGAGGCGCGTCGCCTGCAGGCCAGGCGGGCCCCACCACCCAGCACGCGCCTGCCGCTGACCCCGCGCCAACCGCCGCCGCCCCCGCCTTGACTGCGCACCAGCTGCAAGCGCTTTTGGCGCTGTTACAGCAGCAAGCTCCTGCCGTTACAGTCGGAACCTCATCTGATAATGCTGCGCCTACGATCAATTTTAACAAAAAGAAAGAAATGGCTACCCATCCTCGCGCGCCCAAGGCTCCCCGCACCGACGACCAGCCCCCGGCACCAACTCCTGCACCCGCTGACAACCCCGATGACAGCGACGACTCCGAAAATGACGACAGTGAGGGCCCCGCCAACATTGCTCGTTGTCGCATCCTTGCACCCGCCCCCCCTCTCCCCCCCCTTGGCCCCACGCCCGCAGCTACTACATTCATGCGCAAGGGCGTACGCGACCAGGCCGAGGTCTTCACTGCCATCGAAGCGTACCTGAAGCATATCGACTTCAAGCTGCAGCACGGCGACGTCGTCGGTGCGCTCAACAACGTAAAGGATATCGAAATACTTATTAATAAGCGTTCCCAAGTCCTTCTCGTTGCGGACGAAGCCGGTTTTGAGGCCACCGACCGGTTCCAGCTTTATCAGTCCAAAAGTGTCCTCACATCCCGCTCCTACAAGCTAGCGGTCGCGGATGTGGCAGCGCTCAAGCGTGCGCGCCTCGGCTACACGCGCGGCGGCCGTCCCGGTGGTCGCGACACGGACTCGGGCATCAAGGGCTCCCCCCCTGCTACGTGCCAGCAGCCGCGCTTCAAGGGAGTCTGCTTTCGCTGCGGCCAGCCAGGCCACATGGCCAATGCATGCCACATGGGCGGGCGTGGTGCGCAAGGTCCCTCACCGGTGGTGTGAGCGGTTGATAGGGCGGCGCCCTTTTTCCCACATGCAAGAGGCATAGTGAGTTGCACGGCGGGTGCATGGCCGGTGGCCAGCCCTTTGCCAAAGGCAAGGGTCTTCGCTGACTAGGGTAGCCCTTGGAGGCAGCAAAGGCTGATAGGCCTAGGCTTGTAATAATTCCTATGATTGAATGAAAGGCTCGATGGTTTATGGCCATCTGCTTTTTACAAAAAAAAAAAAAAAAAAAAAAAAAACCCTGATGGGGTAGGGGGTAGGGAGGGGGCAACAAAGCCCAATCAGCATGGCTGAACAGCCTTGAGCGTGGCCCATGACCCCTCACTTTTTATTTGCCGGCCATGCAACACGCCTTGAGAGCTAAGCATGGAGGCACGCCCGACGCCCTACAAATGGCGTGCACGCATACACTTGGAGATTAATCAGAGACAAGGACAGAGTCCGGGCGCTAAAGCTTGCATAAGGAGTGGCCCAAACAAGGAGAGCAGAAGAAAAGAAAAGGAGGAAGAAGTCAACCACCAATAAGCACGCACACGCTTAATAAACGTCACGTACGGACATAGCATGTGATGCCTCGCACGCAAAGGAAAGAGAGTGAGAGTGAGAGAGAGAGAGAGAGAGAGAGAGAGAGAGAGAGAGAGAGAGAGAGAGAGAGAGAGAGAGAGAGAGAAAGAGAGAAAGAGGGAGAGGGAGAGAAAGAGAGAGAGAGAGAGAGAGAGAGAGAGAGAGAGAGAGAGAGAGAGAGAGAGAGAGAGAGAGAGAGAGAGAGAGAGCAGTGCAGGGCGGTACAGTGCGGTGCAGCGCGGTACAGTGCGTTACAGTGCGGTGCAGCGCAGTGCCGTGCGGTGCAGGGGGGTGCAGTGCAGTGCAAGGTGATGGAGAACCGTAAGGGAGGGTGCAGTGCAATAGCTGGCATGAAGAGCGGGCCGCACGCAGATCAGCGGCAGTCCGGCGGGAAGGTGAGCACGGGGCCGGAGATCGACGGGCAGGGCGCGCGCAGGGGTCGGCAGAACGGGCACAGGGGCCAGTAGCGGCGGGCGCCAGGCCGGCGAGGACGGGCGCAGGGGGCCGGCGAGGACGGGCGCAGGGGCCAGGTAGGACGGCGCGGGGCCGGCTAGGACGGGCTTGAGACGGGCGCGGGGCCGGTTAGGAGGGGCCTGGGACGGGCGCGGGGCCGGCTAGGATGGGCGCGGGGGCCTGTAGGACGGGTGCGGGGGCCAGTTAGGACGAGCGCGGGGGCCTGTAGGACGGGCGCGGGGTTGGCTAGGACGGGCCCGGGGGCCTGTAGGACGGGCGCGGGGTCGGCTAGGACGGGCGCGGGGGCCAGCTAAGACGAGCGCGGGGGGGAGGGGCGGCTGGGACGGGCGCAGAGGCCGCTAGGACGGGCGTGGGGAAGGCTAGGATGGGCACGGGGGCCGGTGGGACGGGCGCGGGGGCCGCTAGGACGGGCGCAGGGCCGGTAAGGACGGGCGCGGGGGTCGGTAGGACGGGCGCGGGGGCCACTAGGACGGGCGCGGGGCCGACTAGGACAGGCGCGGGAGCCGTGAGGACGGGCGCGGGGCCAGCTAGGGTGGGCGCGGGGCCAGCTAGGACGGGCGCGGGGGCCTTTAGGACGGGCGCGGGGGCCGTTAGGACGGGCGCGGGGCCTGCTAGGATGGGCGCGGGGGCTGTTAGGACGGGCGGTGGGGCCGTTAGGACGGGCGCGGGGCCAGCGAGGATGGGCGCGAGGGCCGTGAGGACGGGCGCGGGGGCCAGCTAGGACGGGCGCGGCGGGCGCAGCTAGGACGGGCGCGGGGCCAGCTAGGACGGGCGCGAGGGCCGTGAGGACAGGCGCGGGGGCCAGCTGGGACGGGCGCGCCGGGCGCAGCTAGGACGGGCGCGCGGGCACGGCTAGGACGGGCGCGGGGGCGGCTAGGGCCTAGGGCGGAAGCATGGGCGGGCGGCGGGACCTACCTACTGCTGATACCATCTTAGAACTGAGTTATGAATAGTCTAGTGAACGTGAGTACAAGCATACATATCTAAGGATTGTACTCTCTAAGAGGTGACCCTATACATTCTATACAAACACTAGATATACTAATGTTTGACACACAATTCTCTCGAAAATCTAACTTGACATCACAACAGCGTGACTACGAGCTCCACTCTTTCGACTTCTCAACAACCTTCCTACAGGGTCGTCTGCACTGTTGTGATAAAAATCGTACTTAAGCATTTCAGTTAGTTCTGATAGATATTGTCAAGTTACACTGTAGTTAGCATCCGTAGAATGACGTTAGCAAATAGCGCTCGTCTGGATGATTACGTCAGTAAGCCGTTTCAATCACGCGAATAGTCGCGCTCTTTTCAGTAGCGGCTAAAGCGCATAGCGCAAATAGCTCGAACAGGTACATCACCGAATAGGTACTTCTAGCAGATATAAAAAGTAGCTAGTATAACTTCAATTGTTAACTTGTTCTTCAGTAAATTCTGGTCAACACTTGACAAGTTCTGAGACTTCCACTGTCTTACTAGTCTACCATTCTAACAAAGATCCTTTGTTAAGTCTTGAAGTATCGCAAGGCTGTAACACTGACTCTGGTGTTACAACTTGTTAATACTAGCTGTTACTGGTGGTACTTCCAGTATTACTTTCTACTTCAAGTAGTTGTGTCTGCAAACTCTATACTTAGTCTCCTGCACCACCTTTCAAATTCTTTCATGGTATGAGAGCTGTCTGGAATTAAGACTATCGTCAATTCGACTATGGTCAATTTTACAAATGACTGGACCATCACCATCTCCAACGTCTGCTTCTTCAACAACTGGACCCACGGGTGTAACAAATCCTACAGTCTTCATTGGTCAAGCAGGTGACTCTGCAGCTGGAAATTTTCCACGTGCTTATTCTTCAATTGGGATGCCGCAACAGCAGCAAGGTTTGCCTACTATGCATCCACCGGGGACTTCGTCCTCTACACCTGCAATGTTACAGCAACAAGCAGCAGCATCAATATCAGCGGCTTTCAGTGGTATGAGCATTGATGGTTCCAGCTATGCAAGAGCTGCAGCCGCTGCAAGCTCCAGTTCTTCGTTTTCGTTTACACCTGCTCAGCATCAACAATTTCAATTTCTTCAACAACAGCAGCAACCGCAACAACAGCAACATCAACAGCAACCACAGCAACCACAATAGCAGCTTCCGCAGCGGCAGATTTCTTTCACTGGTCCTGTCTTTCAAGCTCCGAACCTTTTAAGCAATACACAGATCAAGACAACTATACCTTTTAGTGGCGCTAACTTCTACAACTGGAGTTTCGAGTTCAAGCTTCTCACGAAATCCGCTGGATTGTGGCCGTTCTTCAGTGGCGATTATTCATATCTTGTTACCGGAACACAGATGGAACAATAGAGTTTTCTTCATGCTTCACTCAGCGCTTACACCGTCCTTATCCGCAATCTGTCGCTAAAAGAGCAGCTTGGTATACACTCTCTTCACACCAGTTTGACTCCAGCAGAATCTGCGTGGAAGCATTTGAATGGATTATACATGGCACAGGATACAATTTCCGTGAGTAAAATTCTCTCACAACTGACAACTGTACAGATGCAGGGCAACGAGAACGTTTCGGATCATATCGACAAGGCTCGAACACTTCGTAACCAATTGGAAAAGTGCGGCGGATACTTCCCAAAGGACATGTTCGTAACAGTCCTTCTTGCCGGTCTTGGAGCAGAATGGTGGCAGTGTTGATCTCTTCTTCGTCTTCAACCAAATCTTTCGGAAACAAAAATCTGCTCAATCCTTCAAGCAGAGCAGCGCGATCTTGACCTGCAGACAGCACGTAACAAAAGGGGAGCAGTTAACATCAGTTTTTATTAAATGCCTGCAAAACGAAGCAGCAAGTTCTTTTGTCACTACTGCAAAAGGGATGGACTCAGCATGAAGTTTTGCAACAAGCTTCAAGCTGATCGAAAGAGAGGAGTGCAGCAGCAGTCGCAGCAGTCAAGGCAACCCGTGAAGCAGAATCCACCAACAACAACTCCTACAACATCAGGAAAGCAAGGTTTTAGCTGCGTTACAACAGTTCATGCAACAGATTCAGATTTTGATGATGAAGAGGAGCAGAGTTCTATTGCCCAACCTGAGAATATGGTTTTACCTCAAGTTTATGCTAACCTCGCTCGAGTCATTGCAGGACCCAACACTTGGTATCTCGATAGTTGCTGTGGTCAACACATGTGTCATGGCGAGACACTCTTCATTACTCATCAACGTCCGCTTCGACGTCCAGTTCCTGTCACAGTTGCAAATGGACAAAAAATATTGGCAAGATCAATTGGAAGCGTAATGCTGGATTCTGTCGACATCGGAATTTCCTTACACGTTACGAAAATTCTCATCATCGAAGGACTTGGCTTTAATCTTATTTCAACGGCTCAACTCCTGCGATATAAGATCAGGACACAAGGCAATGGTGAGACGATGGATCAGGAATTTTATCACAATGATACAAACACCTACTGTACATCGGGAAAGCTGCCACTCAGTATGGGGTCTTCGTTCTTCAATTCGAGTTGCAAGGGACTTCTTGCACTTCTGAGAGAGTCTTATCTCTTGGACCTTGGCAACATCCCGAAGAAACCGATTTTCAGAACGTTGACATAGACTTCCGTGCAACTGCAGTCCCATCAGGATCTCGTACACCAGCAGCAGTTATAACGGCTCTTGATTCCTGGCCAACAAACACAGCCGAGGAAGATACATCAGCATGGAGAAATTACTAAGACACTTCACAACTACTTGAGAACAAACCTACAGGCCTTTGAGGACACAGCAGCAGCAGTGAAGCAGAGGAAGCACAGCAGCAGAGTAGCGGTGAAGCAAAAACCGGGATTCTCGTCGGTCAACCAGCAGCAGATTCCACAGAAACAGAAATTGAAGAAGGGGAATTAGTTCTTCAACCGGAAGAAGTTCTCAATGTGGAAATTACAACCACAAAGTTTCCTCTTACTCGCTTCGTTCCTGGCCAATTCGACAAATCACCAGCGTTTTCTCCTTTCATCGTTTCTTCATTTTATACTAACGCTGATTTTTATCTGCGATCAACAGGACACAAAGCAATAGAAGATATTTGGCATCAGATATTAGGACATCCTTCACCGGGAATACTTAATCATACCATACGGTCTTTGGTTCTTGAAAAAAACAGTCTACTCTTACCGGATGGAACTGAGATGAAGCCATCGTCAAGACCAGCAATCTGCACCACGTGCACAACTGCAAATCTTCTGCACGAACCCTTTCCAAGTCACTTTCCGGGTTCAACTCGATACACACTTATGAAGAAAGCGTATAGCGACATCCTCAACTTACCTCAAGTAGGACCTAAGGGGGAGTTATACATGATCTCTTTCATAGAGGCTTCTACTCGATATGTCTGGACGGTGAACATCCCGGCTCGGCATATGGCTCACTCTACCTTCGTCGCGTGGCTCGCGGTGGCTGAAAGAGAATCGGGGGACAAGTTACAAGATTTTCAGAGTGACGGCGCAGGAGAGAATACGAGCACAACTTTCATAGAGTACCTGCAAACCCTCGGCATCAAGTTCAGGTTGTCCCTGCCACATCAACACCAACAGATGGGGGTAGCAGAAAGGATGAACATAACTCTACAAGAGAAGATGCAAGTCTTGCTGACTCAGGCAGCATTGCCACCACATTTTTTGACTTACGCTTTGGACCATGCAGTTCTTCTGCACAACTTGCTGTCGACAAATTATCTTCCGGAAATTTCTTCACCACACCTGCAACGGACAAAAACAGT